ATAGAACAGAGATCTTGTAGAATGTTCCTCAGTTTGCATTTGTATAATGTTTTCTCGTGATTAGAATAGGTTATGCGTCTTTCCCAGAGATGTCACAGAGGTTTGCTGTGTTCATTTCACTGCATCCTGTCAGGTAGCACACTTTTTTCATTTATCCCATTATTAATGTTGTTCACTTCTATCCTGTGATTAAGATGGTGTCTGCTAGGCTTTTGCACCATAAAGTTACTCTTTTCCAATGTGTAATTAATAAATATCTTATAGGGAGGTAACTTGCAAATATGTAAACATCCCATTTATGATCAAAATTTCAGTTCATTCATTTATACCAGCATGTAGTCATGGTTTTCTATTGTATTCAATGGGTTATAATACATTATTATCACTGCTTATTTTGATATTCAAGTTTTCCGATGTGTGGCCAGTGGGAGTCACTTTAAGCTAGTCTCTATGCCTTTTGACATGTGTCCATCATTCTCTGAGCACTTCGTGCTTTCTAGCACAGTGAGGCACACCTTGTACTTTCCCTACCCCAGCCCTGGAATTAGCCAATTCTCCAAGAAGTCCTGGGTTTTTTTAGTAGAGAATGGTATTTAGAAGTCAGTATCTGGGCACTAGGTTTCCTCATTGTTATTGGGATGCTGCTGCTCCCAGGCCCTCTCAGTGGACAGAGATAGGGAATATACATGCAAAGAGTTACATAATTTATTTTTTCTCTCTATGTCTGTGTCTATGTATATTGTGGCTCATACTGATACCTCCAATTCCAATTCAATATCACAGGGTTTATTCTAATTTTCCTCTTTTCCATGCTGCAACTCCCTTCTCCACCAGTAAGAAACCTGGCTACCATTATCCTTAATACATTTACTTAGTCAATCCCCCATAGGTAAACACTCTCCCGTCTACACTAGCATAACTTCCCGTGTGCAGATGCCATTCTTATTACGTTCTAACTCCACATGCTCGGCTGCCCAAATACGTGGATGTCCTCCTAATTTTACTTGAACTCTAACACTCCAGACAGTTCTTCCACACGGACACCTCCTTGCTTTGCTGAAGTTCTGAGCACCCATGTTTGGCTATCTGCATGCTCAGCTGCCCAAATACGTGGATGTCCTCCTAATTTTACTTGAACTCTAACACTCCAGACCGTTCTTCCACACGGACACCTCCTTGCTTTGCTGAAGTTCTGAGCACCCATGTTTGGCTATCTCCCTGTGGTAGACTCAATAATGGACCCCCAAAAATGTCCACATCCTAATTCCCAGAATCTGTGAATGTTACTTTATATGGAATAAGGGGCTTTTCAGATGGGACTAAGTTAAAAATCTTGAAATGGAAACATTCTCCTGAATGATTCATGTAGTTCCAATGTGATCACGAGGGTTCTTATAGGAGGGAGGTCGAAGTGTCAGAGTCAGAAAGAAGCTGGAAGATGCTACTCTGCCAGCTTTGAGGAAGAAGGAAGCCACTAGTTGAGGAATGAGACTGACTTCCAGAAGCTGGAAAACTCAAGGAAATAGATTCTCCCTTAGAGTCTCCAGAAGGAATGCATCCCTGCTGATGCCTTGATTTTAGCCCGCTGAGCTTGGTTTTGGATTTCTGACCTCCAAAACTATAAGATAATAATGTGTGCTGTTTTAAGTGACTAAGTTTGTGGTCACATATTACAAAAGCAACAGAAAACTAATATACTCCCCTACCCCTTCTTGGACATCCTTCTCATTCTGCTCAAGCTCTGCCACCTTCCACACCAGTTTCTCCCCCTGCATGTACACCCTTTCCACGGTGCTCAGAAATTGGCTCCCCATTGTGAGCAACCATGAATGTCTCCCTTACTCTGAGGCACCTAACTGGTTTAGAATTATATTGTTCAGGATGGGAAAGGAGGGGAAAAGAAGGGTAGAGAGAAGAGGAAGAGAAAGAAGAAGAAAGTCCATTGATGTTTAATACTCAAGCTCCAATCTACTAATTGCCAAAAATCATCCCACCAGCAAGGGTGTACCAGCTATTTCTGAGAGTTACTAGGACGTGAGAAACCATGAATGTCTCCCTTACTCTGAGGCACCTAACTGGTTTAGAATTATATTGTTCAGGATGGGAAAGGAGGGGAAAAGAAGGGTAGAGAAAAGAGGAAGAGAAAGAAGAAGAAAGTCCATTGATGTTTAATACTCAAGCTCCAATCTCCTAATTGCCAAAAATCATCCCACCAGCAAGGGTGTACCAGCTATTTCTGAGAGTTACTAGGAGTGGGCCTTTATACAATAAGGGCTTTTCCACTCCATACCCAGCTTCTTCCCCTGCTGCTCAAGAGCTTAGGGGTTACCTGGCCCTGCTGGCATTGGGAGAGGAATCGTTGCTGCCCCTTATTCTAAAGCACAGTGCGTCCCTTCTGTAAGCCACGCAACACTTCTGAGACTAGGTGTGTACATAAGGGAAAGAACATACAATATAGGGGATAATTTATAACTACTGCATAGGCCAGTCTCAACTCAAGTTCTCTTAAATGGTCTTCTCTAATACAGTCTACATGTGTCAGAGTCTGGGCCAAACTGAAGTCAACCTCAGAGACGGGAAAGTTTTATGTAGACCCAGACTAAAATCCACCTCTGGAGCTTTATTTCCCATTACATGATTTGTCACTTCTCAAGATGATTGACAGTGGGAATTTTCAGTCCCTTCCCCAGAGGTAGAACCTGGTTCTATGGTCCAGACCAGACAATCTCACAGTAGCCCTCCATCTGTAGATATCTTAAAGTCTGCATCAATCAATCTTAAATAGTAACATCAATACTGCATCAGTCAAATTTTAACAAGAGTGGAAACACCAGCAGCCATTCATGTCAGTTGTGGTCATACCAAGATCAGCCCAATTTCTTTTCAATTTTGTCTCATCAAAGATTAAAAACTTATGGAATCAAGTCCCACCCACTGTCACTGAGTTACCTAATAATCAAAATAACGAACGCCGATTATTGTCAAGGACTAAAATGATTCTTTTACATGAACTATTTCACTTAACCATACTGTTGTTGGGGCTGTTTACGTGAAATTGTTTAGAAAGAAGCCCCAGATAATTTTCTGTCTTTGACACTCACCATCTTGCCACCTCTATATGTCCCACAGCCGGCACAACTAATCTCATTATATCCAATACCCTTGCTTATGTCAGTGATCCTAAGAAGTCTCAGACTCACAACACATCTCTATGCACATTCTTTTACGACTTCCTCTCTTACCTCAACCCACTGGGTCTTCTGGAATTCACAGTCCAGAACTAACCAAATCCATCATATCCTCAGCTACCTCCTACTGGAAAGATAAACCAGGTCTCCCCTAAGAATTCTGCTTCCCCTGCCTCCCCTCAAGTGGTGGCTGTTTTTCTCTCTCATATTTTGGGCTCACCACTCTGATCTGCTGGTTCTTCATTTATCATTCAGGAAATCTCCACTCCACAACCTTTGCAAGGACATTTTCCTTGCCTGGAATCCAAGTGGCTACCTTCCTTACCTCTTACAAGTGCTTTCTCAAGTGTCATCTCTTCAACGAGGCCAATTATAATCACTGTGTTTAAACCCCTAGCCCACCCACCCCACCCCACCCCACTTGTAGTTTTCCAATTCCCTCATGCTGTTCTACTTTTACTTTACTCCATGGCACTAATCACTTGCTAAGATACCATGCAATTTACTAACATATTATGTATTTTGTTTATTGTCTATCTGCCCCTTGCTCAATTTCAAATTCCCCAAGGACAAGGATCCTTATTTGTTTTGTTGACTGAGATATCTCAATCGCCTAGAAAAACACCAGGCACATAATAGTTGCTCCAATAAATAGTTCTTTGAGTGAAAGAATAAACTCTCACCACAATGTTGTGAGGGAGGCATAATTGTTTCTCTTTTCCAGACAAGGAAACTGAAGCTTAGAGAATATAAATAATTCATTAAAGGTCACACTATTTGTAATGGCATAACCCAGATTCCAACCCAGTCATTTCTCCATAGAGCTTACACTCACTATCCCATACCCAATGCATTTTCCCAAGGCGGATGGGGGACAGAGGGATACGAAGTCGAAGGAGGGAGTAGGGAGATGAAGCAGAGGGTAGAAATAAATGCCTCTGTGCCAAGCTAAGCAGTTGGGGCTACTTTCCATTTCAGAAGCTCTGAATTGAATGGTGACATAATTAAATCTATATCTTGGAAAGATAACTCAAATAGCTGCCAACTGGAGCAGTGAAAGCCAATAAATTGCCAGTGGAAAGAAAAAGCTTTAATGAGGCCTAATGCAACTCTAAAATTTCCACAGCTAAAAATGACTTTCCTTCTACTAATACATTAGTATGTAGTTTACTCGCTCCATTCCTCACTTAGAAAAAGTCTAACACAGCATAAGTAGTTGTGAAATTATACTTTATTCACATGTATTAGACATTGATGAACTAAACAAATGAGTTACTTTCCATTTAGGTGCAGTCGCCGTTGTCATCAATATTTGGAAGCACCAGGTGTGAAATCTCCTGAGATGCTGTTTTTATTAGGGGACAGGTCTTATCACCTGATACATTCAAGTGCTGTCTGACATGCCATTAAAGCAGTGGCTCAGAATGCAGACACGATCTCAAATAGGCAGTGACTGGATGGTATCATTTCATTTATGTGTTCATTGTATTGTCAAATGAAATAAATACACAACCCACAGGGCCTTGCTTAGGTCAGCTGCCTAATTGGTCCCTGAGATAAAGCCTTGTAATCACATAATCTTGCCTAATTAGTCAGGAAAAAAAGAAAAAGGGTCAAGTAAATAGTCACAGGATACAGGAATTATAAATAATATATATTAATAGATATTCATTTTCATTACATAAAAGTTGCTATTATAAATACTTCTTTGATTGATGAGTCTAAAAATACATTCCCCATATAAATAATGTTAAATATTAATAAATAGATTTAGATTTAAAAATTCAAATAGTGCAGGCAGGATGACCATTATTAAGATGCTCTCCGGCCTCGAAACAGCATCTGACTCCTTTTTCTCTTCCTTAGGTTAGATTTTGGTGACAGATCAGTCATCACTGTGAAGAGTTCCTTTATCGCTTTGCGCTGGACCTGCAGGTCATTTACCTATTGGGAAAGAAAACAGCAAAATTAATTTCAGGCTTACAAGCCATCAAGATATTCTCAACTAATGTCATGGTCAGTGAAAATGGAATTATTCCTTTTTTTAACAACAACAACAAAAAAGGTGATCCTGACTAGTACTATATTACCTTAATATACAATATTCACTTCTTCAGCAGTTAAGGCTAAAATTATAATTAAATTGTTAGCTGGGCTGTAATACAGTGAGCACATTACATGTCCTTAAATTCATTGCTACAGAATTCTCAAAGTTATATAGTAGAAAGAGCTCTGAAATGCAGTAAAACACAAAAAGGTGGGTTTAAATTCCGTACATGCAATAACTCTGTATTAACCTCTCTGAACCTCTGTTTTCTCATCTCAACAAGGAGAACGTTGTTTAGATGGCCTGTAGTCTCTCTACCAATTCTATCACCTTGTACTTTATTTAGTCTGTGCTTTGTGTATCAAATTAGTTACCACCAGTTAACAGTTCTCGCCTTTAGTATGCAGCAGTTTAACCTGGAGACCTAATAAAGAACTCAGAGATCCAGGTGCATGAGGTGGAAGGCCTGGGCCATCATGCGGTCACCAAGTTCCCCAGGTGATTCTGATACTCACCAAAGTTTCTGAACCACTGATATAGGTTAAGTACTTTGTAAAACACTAAGTCCAAGATAGATGAAAACTATAATTTTTTAATGTCCCCAAAATTAGGTCAGTCCCATTATTTCCATAATAATATTAAAAATAAACACTAATTATATTTACATGACAACAATCAATTTACTGATACATAAAATTTAAAATTGGTAATTGCAGAAACTTTTCCTATTCTTTGCCTTCTGTGCTAGCAAATTAAACTACCTGCATTTTCTCTGTCTAACCAAGAGGATCATGGGCTGGCTGGTTAGCTCAGCAGTTACAGCATGGCACTGATAATGCAAAGGTCCAGGGTTCCATCCCTGTACTGGCCAGCCACCAAGAAAAAAAAAAAAAGAAACGATAACCTATAGGGTCATTTAGGAATTTCATGCTTAAAAAATGAGGACCATTTACTTTCATCTGGGCTATGCCACTACATTTCTTTCTAATGCTGGAAACATGGTAGCCAGCTTGCCACATTTCTGAGAATGATTAAGGGGATTGTAGGCTTCAGGACTAATTATTAAAGGGCATAATATGCCTAAAATATGTCAGCAATTGAGCAAAAGAGGACAGTGGCTAAGAGCTCACTCCAGATCACCCATCATGAAGAAGGAAGGCTGGAGCTTCTGGAAAGATAGAACTAAAATTTTTTCCCTTTTCAAGGCTCAGTTACAGCAGAGCAGAAAAAGTTTTTTACAGCTGTGTGTTTGCAAGTGACAAATTTTACTTTCCACCATTCAAAGCACCACCAAGAAACAAAAGACCTATCCAGGACTGAACAGCAAGCCAGGGGCAGCACTGGCTTAGGAGCAGGTGTTTTCTCAGTCCCTAGCCTATGGCCAAAGGAGACCTGCTGCCATATCTCCTTTCAGCTCCTGGGGGCTAACATGAGAGAGGTGAGAGGCAGCCCCAGGTAAGTGAAAACTGGGCACAAATCCAAAGAGTACGAGTCTTAAAAGACCCCTGACCCTCACATTCAAGCCCGTATATATCAGAGCTAAACCAAAAGGAATCTGCAGGCCTTTGTCTCCTGGGTAAAATTTTGGAAAACCTCATTTGTCTTTATGCTTCAAAGTTATCTTTCAGCTTCTAGAAGCCATAACTTTAAAGACTCATGATGATTTCGTGAGATAAAGTTTAGGAGCCTAAGGATTTTTCCAGCTGAGCTACTTAAATGTCTGAAAGTTAATCGAACAATACTTTCATAACATGCAAATTCTATCTTTTTTTTTTTGGTCTGAAAACAAACAGCAAACATTCTCAATGGGGCTGCACAATCTGAGAGGTTGACCAGAGATTGGCAGTGGCAGGGCTCCAGTGCCTCCTCAAAGGCTAAGTAGCTTTCTCCTAACTCATTTTCAGTTTCTATTCATGGCATTGTAGAGTTTTAGAACAAAGGAGGCCATAGAATTATGTAGTAAACCCAACAGGTTCTTTTTAAGACAAGGAAACTGAGCCCCAGCCAGGCATGTGATTCATCTGACCTCACAGTTCCTTAGTGGCCAAGGTGGGAGGAGAACACAAGTCTTCTCACCCCCTCCCACTGCTCTTTCCACTAAGACACACAGCCAAAGCAAGAGAATTTCCATCACACAGACAAGGGGCAATGCGAGAATTTCTTCTCAATACTCCCAGCCCCCTGCCATCCACTTCTTCACCTACTTCCTCCTCTGGATTTGTCCTTTCACCTGTTTTTATGCAATAGTTGTAATAACAGTGTTTCCCCAAATTGCATATTTAAATAATCCCCATACTAACTTTGCAAAGTCACCCAAAGCACAAACAGAATTAATAAGGAACAATTTTTGGCCACGGGTTCATTTCGTAACTTTAGCAACTGTTAAATAACTCATTTCTACTTTCTGTAGGAATGATCTTTGCAAGATCCTCTGCAATGAAACCAAAGAAAGGATTAACATAGCCTCACCTGAATTTGAGTCAGCTTTTTGAAGTCCTCCCGTTTGCTGGAGCTGCCATTGAAGAACTTAGCAAACATGTCTTCCTTGATGGTATTCACACTCTGTTGGATGACCTGATTGCCTTTCAAGTTTTCAAAGAGTTTGAAGTAGAAGGAGACGATTTGGCTCTGAATTATTTTTTTGTCACTCTCCTTAGGAGAAAAGAATGCAAAGAAAGGATGATGTGACTTTATTCATCAGAAAAAAAAAAAAGCAACAGGAAAATTAGCTAAATAGGAATGTTCAGCTTACCTCTTTCCAATTCTTCAGAATATCTAAGAAAAGAGGACCACCATCTGCTACATCTGGATTACTTGCATTCTGAAAAAAGAAGAAAAAAATCGATTTACAATTAGTCCATAAATTGTCCTAAAAATACACTTTGTTTCATTGAACTCAGATGCTGACAATATTCACTGATTTCCTTTTCAACCCTTCTTTTTAGTTCTAACAATAAATATTCCCCAAAGCTTTCACATTAGATGTAGCCAAAGAGGGTTATGCTCTTTCAGCTTTCTTATTTTCTACAATAACCCTTAAATTGCAATGTCACAAATGAACTCTGTAAGGCTGATGATACTTCAAGTGTCCCAAATAACTATAGTAAGCTAAGAAAATGTTTTCAAGGTTAATAAAAAAAAAAAAAGAAATCAGCAAAGCCATCCCACTATAAAATACTGCCCCCCTATGGTACAGTTTTCTGTAACAACTACCTGTGCCCTCCTATAGGGTATTAGTATGCCAGCTTTAAAAGATAGTTCCAAATAATTGTGTGTATGTGTGTACGTGTGTGTGAGAGAGAGATTTGATTTGATATTGCAAGAATAAAATCAATTGTGAATACTTGAACATTATAATAGCTATAATCATAATAGCTAAATTTTGGATAAATAATAATATATTTAAAACACAAAAACTATTTTTCATTAACCATAGATAAAATTTAAAAAGAAACTCATAAAACAAATTTTTAAAAAGCCCTGGCCAGAATCATAACTCCTACAAAATCTCAGCAAGTGACTAAATTTGAGAGTAATTCACATACATTAACCATAGATAAAATTTAAAAAGAAACTCATAAAACAAATTTTTAAAAAGCCCCGGCCAGAATCATAACTCCTACAAAATCTCAGCAAGTGACTAAATTTGAGAGTAATTCACATATAATACAGGCAGAACGGTGGAATTTTGAGATCACTTTTTAGAGAAAAATGCCTGTAAGTGATTTTTTAAGCTGAAACTTTGAGGACTTCACCTTCTTTTACTTTAATTGATAAATCATTTCCTACTACCCTTTTAAATGCTATTCCTGACCTCTTACTGTCACTTTCATAATAGTCCAGGAAATCAGAGACTGATAACCAATAATTTTTTCAACATGCATACTACTTGACTTATAACAGCTGAATGTATTCCCACAACAAAATTATCATCTTCATTACGCTTTGTATCCACATTATGCCCATCTTTTGGAAGATTCAAGAATCCCCTTTCAGTCTCTATAGCAAATTGAGCAAAAGGCTAAAGCAATGTCTAGATGATTTAGTCAAGAAACTCGTGCAGCCAACAATTAGCAAAGTAACACCATTCTTCTCAAAATGACTGTGAACTGGAGATGACAGCCTATCAGAGATACAACTGCAAGTCACCATTAAGTCATTTCCAACCACAAGCAAGTAGTGCTAAGAGTTCATACTTACAAAATATTCCTTTAGGTTGTCTATTTCTTTTAAAAATGTCGCCTGGCAGTAACAGCTAGAAGAACTCAAAAGGATGCAGAGCTGAAAAGCCAAGATATAACTTGTATAATTCATTTTTTTGGAGAGAGGCTGAAGAAGTTGAAATTGGCAGCTCCTGTATTAAGTTGATCAGGTCCAAAGGACTTAGCTGATCTTTCTCTTCTAGTAGCTGATCTGCAGATGATCAGAACAATGTACTGCGTCTCCTTCTGCTGCTGGTATTTATACCTAATTGAAGTCTCATCAGGATTACGTATTTTCACAAGTTTTTTAAGATGAGATGGTGACAGATAGGCAGGGATGCTAGTTTGTATTAATAACTATGGTTTTGTGGCATTTTGGTGTTGTAGTTAGAGTTTCCTTTCAACTCCTTGGGACCTTTGACGATGAGACGACCCATTATGCCAACCTGTGCCATCCTTGTGGGATCCTTTGACAGAAATTTTATTTCACAACATTCAGGGACTGGAAATTTTTTCACACCCCTTCCCTTTGCCCTTGTAAAATGTTGACTCCTCATCCACAAAGCATATTGATCATTTGTTTGTGGTTGGGAACAACTGAAAAAGGAAATTCTAGGGCCTCTCAAACCTTTACAAAGGGGGAGCCTTTTAAAAGTTTTCTTGCAAATGACCAGAAAGTAAAGAAAGAATGTGGTTAAAAGACCCATGTGGTAAGAAAGTCTTCAGAGTTGGTTAGTAAAATATCCACCACAAGTTTCAAATTACTCCAGACCTATACTGCCCAATAGAAATATAATGCAAGCCATATAGGTAAAGTAAAAGTAATTTTTAAAAACTATTGTATTTAAACCAATATATCCAAAATATCATTTCAATATGTGTCAATATACAACATTATTAAGATATTTTCCATTCTTTTTGTCTTACTAAATTCTTGAAATCCAGTGTGCATTTTATACCCACAGCACATCTCAATTTGGACTGGCCGTATTTCACATGCTCAGTAGCCACATGTGTTCAATACAGATGCTACTGGATGATCAGTTATTCCAAATAATCATTAATGATAGAGAGTCTTTTTCAACTTTTTATTTATTTTCCTTTCAAATACAAAAAATAGGATTCTTTGTCTTCCTTTGGTAATTTATTTTTGAAGTATAACACTTTGGGATGGCACAGAAGGCCCTCCATACCTTGAGTCCAACCATCCTTGTTTTTCTACCTATGCTGTATTATACCCTAAAGTACCGTGATTGTGTGTGCAGACTTGAATCCTGGCTCCACTACTATCTAGTTATGTGACTGTGAGTACACTTCCTTTTTTTTTTGTCCTTTTTGAGACCGGCCGCACCACGCTCAGCCAGTGAGCGCTGTGAGCACACCGGTCATCCCTATATAGGATCCGAACCCGCGGCAGGAGTGCTGCTGCGCTCCCAGCGCCACACTCTCCAGAGTGCGCCACTGGCTCGGCCCTGAGTACACTTCTTAACTCTTCTGTGACTCAATTTCCTTACCTTAAAATGGGCTTAATAATAGTATCTCCTTCCAGGATTCAGTTAAAAATAAAATCAGGTGATCCATATAAAGTGCTAAGAATTTTGCATATGGTGGTCACCCAATAGAAGTTATCTATTATTAATCTTGGCACATCAGATGAATAGTTACTCCTAGAAAAACACACCCTGAACCTTTGCTCATGCTTTTTCTCTGGTCTTGAGTTCCCTTTCCTCTCATCTGTGCCCCTCAGAGGGGTATTCATACATCCAAGCCCAGCCTAAAAATCATCTCCATGAGTTCTCCCCAAACACCCTACTTAAAATTAATCTCGTATTCTCTATAAAGGTCTTGGTTCATACTTTTCTTAGAGTCTTGGTTCCTCATTCACATATTAGTTAGTTACTCGTGTGCCTTCTCTCATGTTAGACTGAGTTCCTTAAAATCATTCATTGTTTCTTTGCTTCTATGACACCCTTCTCTTGCCTAAAACAGTTTAGCATGGAGATTTGCTTGTAGACAGCACTGAATACAGGTAGATTTGAATGCTTGCTTAAGGATCTATTTTGAGTTATTTGCCCTCAAGTTCTAATCCTAATGCTAACAGGCCTACTCTGTAGGAAACTCATTTTTAATTAAATAAGATTTATGATTAATGTTAGAAACACGATGCTATGTCTCTTTAGCCAACACCTGCTGACTGTGAAAATTCCATGTATTATTTTACATGAAAAAAGGCAGAGAGCTCTTTAAGGGCCTATCTTTTTAAAGAATAAACAAGATCAAAACATATCTGTGGGACTGAATCCTCGTGTTTAGCAAGTAAGGAGTATGGAAATTATATTGCAGCATGCAAAGTTCTATTGTTACTCTCCTCAGGGAAAAATATGGTCCAGAGAATGTGCTCACAAGGTGATACAGTGATGTGGGTCAAAGCCTTGTCAAATCCTTGAGACACACTGCAGGCACTCAATACTTTCCAAGAAATCAATGGCCAAACTCTGAGTCACTGGAAGGAATATTCCCAGCTTTCTGGAAAGAAGTAAAAATTACTTCTGCCTGTTCTTTGATTTATCCACTGGAATATAGTATTGGCAGTGAGGAGATAGGAATAGTGAGATCCATACTAGACAATTAGATGCTGCCTGGGCACTTGTAGGTTCAGAATGCCTATTCACAATTACAGATATATATTAAAAATATGTTTGCAATATGGCCAAATGTTTAGGATTAGTAACTACATAGCTAAAATTCAAGCTCCGATAACTCCTGATGTCATGACCAAGCACAAAATTATGGAATTACAGAGATTATCTACGGTTTATCTCATCACTTTTTAGATTATAAATCAAGACCCAGAAAAACAAAGTGATATGCTTAATTTAATTCAACTTGTCAATCCAGAGCTGACCCCAGAACCAGGATCTTTTCCTTAATTAACCCATTCCCCAACAGATCAATACCCATTAAGATTACAGTGTGCGCCTCTAACTATGTCAAATATGTGCATTCAAATAATTACACACTTTTAGGCTTTTTTAGGGAAATTTTTTTTTCTTTAGAATTGTAAGATAGTAGTCACACTTTAATTCCTTAAAAAATAGTAAGACTTCAAATAAAGGTTTTGAAATTCTTGGCTAGACATCCCAACAAACCCAACTTCATGGGCGTACTACCTGTGCAGTCTGTCAGGACCCTGAACTTAGACAGAACAGCTGACATTTGGTTTAATGCTCTATTGTCACCTTCTTGAAATTCCTAATAATTTTTTAACATGGTGCCCACATTTTCATTTTGCTCTGGTTCCTGCAGATTGTGTAACTGGTTCTGCCCCCCAGACTGGAAGCAAATAATCTGTTGTTAGATTTTCATCTTTCAACATATAATTCTTTGGATGTATATATTTCCCAGGGGATTCATGTAGTTAAGAGGACTGATTATTGGTCAGAAGAAAAACACATGTTTGTCATATGTCTTGAATTCCCTCCTCCTATTCCCATGGCAGACATTGCTAATCAGCAACGTTCTTTCCTATAAAATCCAAATATAGCCTACAAATCCTTAACTCTGAAATCCAGATGGATACTGCTTCAGTAACATTTTATTACCTATTTGCCCTCTGGTTCCTGTAAATTGTGTAACTGGTCCTGCTTTGGGTTTGGTTTTGGGAAAAAATTTTTTTTCTGTAGAATTGTAAGATAGTAGTCACAGTTTATTTAATTCCTTACAAAATAGTAAGACTTCACATAAAGGTTTTGAAATTCTTGCAAAGGTTTACTTGTTGCTATGCCTTTTAGTTAGGTCCTCTACGTGAATTTTTTCAATTTACAAAGAAGTAAAAGACATTATCTCTTCCTCCAAGAAAATTAAATTAGAGAAAAAAACATGGAATCCATGAAGTAATATAAGGGAAAGAGCTTTGGCCTGAGAGAAAGAAGTTTCAGATTCTGGTCCTGTATCTGCTACTAAAATGATGTGGGATTTTAAGCAATGCTTTTACCCAAGTCTTTCATCTCAACTACTTCACCTTTAAAGTTTCCTCCCATTTCTAACATTTTATGTGACTATGTCTGTGATTTATGAAGAATATAAGACATTATTAAGGACTAATTCAACTCAGGAATTCAAAGAAAAATAATTGTCTTGATGCAAAAGTTCTATGTGACTATGTCTGTGATTTATGAAGAATATAAGACATTATTATTAAGGACTAATTCAACTCAGGAATTCAAAGAAAAATAATTGTCTTGATGCAAAAGTTGAGGGATTTCACTAATGGCTTGAGTTTTGAATTTAAGTTGAATTTGGGCTTTAAATTGGGTTAGGCTTTAAAAAAATGTACAGAATTCATAAGAACAGATAAGCAATAACACTTCAGAGCTTGTACTTAACCCTCCAGGGCATGTACTTTTTTTCCCCCCCAATGATTTGGATGTCTCCTGAAATGGCACTAAGTTTTGAAAGCATGCATTTTTCCAAAGGAGAATTTCTCCTCTATATTCCATCCTAAGAATTCCATAGAGCAGACTGGCAGACTCACATTTTCCCCTAGGCTACTTGGCAGAGAACCTCTGAATCTATGATGATCCAATGAATAAGGTTTTTCTTCACCAGGGTTTTGCTACATAATTATTACTGTGTCCCCTTCCCTGAACCAATTCATGCAATACATGAACCAAATTCACATTCATTTATTTTTCAATGGAAATAGTTTTAAATAGTTATAAAATTATGTGGGATCTTTTAAATTAAAAAGCCAGACAATACAGAAGAGCACAAGGGAAAAAAATCACATAAGATTTTACCACCCATAGGTAAACGCTGTTAGCATTTTATTTCATATTTTCTTCTATGTACCTAACACAGTGTCTGGCATGAAATTGTTTCCCAATGAACTTTTCAGGGGTCAACTAAATATGAGGTGAAATGACCTAATAGTTAAGTCTAAGGGCTCTGGAGTCAGGCTGCTCGGGTTCAATCATGACTTCGTTTCTCACTGTTGACTTTGAGTGAGTTATTTAACTTTTCTGTACTTCAGTTTCCTCATCTATAAAAAGATGATATAAAGAGTGGCTGTGTCAAAGGATTTCATGAGTATAAATTAGGTCAATATGTGTA